CCACAGTGGAACCGAGGTGTACGATGGAGTAGCTGATGGCCTTGGCAGCCCCCCGCCCGAGAGCAGGTTTAAGACGAAGATGTTGTGTTGGTGGCAAATTGGATAATGATGAAAGCTTTGCATGCTTCCTGTAGAGACTAGGCATATAGAGACCAGGCATATATTGACTGGACATCAAAAAAGTAAACTTTCTCAACTTTCATGGGCACTATAAAATGATACACCGTAGTGCATTATTTGCACCAATGTATCGATTATCGTCGCCAGGAAAAACAATACGAGCAATAAACTGTTTGAAGTTGAAAATTGCAAGCAACAACAATAATGATCCATTTTCTAGTTCTCGAAAATTGAGAAGATATTGTCAAACAATATTGTATATTTTGTTGAAGCGTACCTGTGCATCAAATGTTAAATCGAATTTTATGATGGTGTTGCCTACAAAGAAGAACAAAAGAGCCAGTTTTGCCTACAAAGTAGAATTATCTCCAAGAGAAGATATAGTATTCCAACCAGAATAACCAAGAGAAGGCTGAAGTACTTGCACGTGTCTGTTCCGCCTTTAAGTCCCGCGCAACTAGCCGGTTGCGGCTCTCTTTTTCCCGTACTCAATTGAGCCGCGTTGTTCAGCACGCCAATCCAAACCCTACTCCAAGTATTTGACTTTCTTGGACGAATCCGGCAACTGGACGCTGTACGAGAAGGCTACCAGTCACACAACGGCGATGAATACAAAGAAGACACCGCAACTTACCGATATAACGGAATCGATTGTGCCTGTACCGTAGTCCCCATGCAACTGTACCCCATTCCCAACAGCCAAAATGAAGCGATGGCGTCCCCGGATAGGCGCAACTGGAAGGAGGCCCAAGAGGCCGAAGTGACCCAACTGGCCAAGTTAAAGAGCTGGACGATAGACACACCACCAAACGACCGCAAGATTATCGGTGGTCGATGGACGTATGCAAGCACGACTGGTTAGGAAGGACATGTCGTACGTTGGAAGGCACTCTTGGTTCTCATAGCCTCGCCCAGGTTACTTGTGTCGACTACGACGAGTAGTCGTCCAATGTCATCACGATGACGTCCGTCCGCGCCATCAGTGCTGTCGCCACTTCAAACAGCATGGTACTCGAACTAGCCGACTCCGTGAATGCCTTCATCCAAGCCAGGTTAGAACGACCGATTTGGGCGGTTGACGAAGGGCATGAAACCTCACCAGGGAAAGCCGCATTGGTCCAAATGGTTCTCAATGGCCTCAACCAGAGCGGCCACGAGCGGGAGGTTTCCTGCGAGTGACAAGTAGCTGCCCTTGGATGGACACAGAGCCCACATGACTCTACGTTTTTACGCGTGTATACAACGGCAGAATGGAGATCCTTGGAATGTATGTTGACGATTTTATTGTGGCGGCACCTAGTCAGACGAGGATGAATATCATCAAGGACAAATTGGCGTCGCGAATAAACCTCAAGCGCCAAGGACGGCTGCACTACTTGCTCGGTGTAGGCATCACACGCAGCAAAGACAATAGATCGTTGGACATGACCCAGGACGCGTACGACAAGATTTGCTCGAGCGCTTGAACACGTTGGCATGCCATGCTATCGCGACGCCAGAAATTCCCGATGAGGAATATTTATGGCACGACGAAAGTCAACAAAGCGTCGACCATGGGGAGTTTCGCGCAATGATTGGTTCGTTGGTGTACTTGATGGTCTTCACGCGCCCTGATATCGCTCACGCTGTCCAAAGGTTCTCGTGCCACTTGCAAGCACTTCGGTCGCCGCCCTTGATCGGTGCAAAACGTCTTCTTCGCTACCAAACAAAACACCTTTGGAAGCAATTCAGTAATGGGGGTGCATGCCTTACTGGTTTCTATGACGAAAGCTGGGGAACGCATCCTGACCGACGCTCGACGACTGGTTTCGGGATTTTCTCTTTGCGGCGTATTCTAGTGGAATATGCCCGCCGGCGCATCACCGCTCTCTCAAGCTGTGAGATGGAGTATATTTCTGCCGCAGAAGCCGTAGCAAATCGACTTGGCAGCGTGGGCTGCAAAAATATGTATCCTTCACAATTGAGGGCGGATTCGTGGACGCGTAATTTGGCATAATGAAATTCATATAATTCTATTGCGCGTCACATGTCACATTACCGATATTTCACCAAATTATCACCAAAATGGCCTACGAGTCCACCCTCAGAGTCCTAATTCCTGGCTGGACGGGCAATGAAAAAATACTTTTCCCGTATAATCCACAAATTCTCTCAACTTTTCTCAAATCTCCTGCCGCCATTTTGGCAGCGGAGCAGCAGCACCCAAAGTACGCTTAGGAGTAAGTGAGTACGTCATGCCTTCAGTACCGCGTGTTGCCCCACAACACTCTGCAGACTCCACACAGACTATTCGCTTGGAGGCAAGCGTGCAAGCGGGTCTTTGTGCTGCCTTCTCGACTCATCAGCCATGCTACTGACAGCGACCTCAATGTGGATGCGAGCGCGGCAAAGCTGGGGTTCAGGCGCTCGTATCCAGATGGACGCACTGATCCGCATCGGCAGCCTGCTGCGTGCGGACCAAGCCTGTCTTGAACTTATCGTGTATTTGTTGTAGGCGGTCGTGGAAGCAGCAGCTAACGTGTGCAGGACTATGACCAAGGAGGCAAAAACAAAAGTGAAGTGTCAAGATCTACATAATGAAGTCTCTTTTCAGTTGGTTCATCACGTCCCTTTGATGTCTCTTTGTTGTTTTCAACGTTTCTGTGACTTCGGTCAATGGGAGCACAGGGTTCGTTCGATTCGCCATTTTGACCATTGTTTCTATGTCAGCGAATCCTTACAATCTCTAATCCTGGTGAATGTTGGTCGTTCGACGGTCCACTTGTCGGCGGTTTCGAGTGTTCGTTGGCTGGATTGGGATTCGTCTGCGACGTGGTTGAGTGAGGGGCCAACTGCCTGAGGTCGGTCATTACCCATCTGGAGAATTTTTGGATCAGATGTTTTGTCGCGGCCCTGGTCAATGCATCGGCAACCATGCTGGCCGTGGGGGTGAAGTCCAGTCCTATGGCACTAGGGGACGAGTTCACGCAGGTAATGGTGTCTCACGTCTATGTGCTTCGTAAGTTCACAGATTGCAGTTGTGATATGGCCGATGTGTTGTCGCAGTACAGAACTAGGCATTCCTGCGGTGTGCCAAGGTCGGCGAGCAGCCTTGGACTCTTTGATCTTTGTTGGTTTGTGACGGGTGAGCCCGTGACGCCGATAGAAGCGTTGAAGAAGCTTGAGAAGCGACTTGTAGCCGTTCTCCCTGGTTGCATGGTGCTGCACTAGCCAGTCTCGGTGGTGACGCGTGAGATAGTTGATGAGGTGCGTACAGGATACTGCTCGCTCAGATTGTACGTCAGGATATCAAGAACCTCGCTCCATTACTATTCAACTGGATATCCTGCACCTTCAAGGTTGAAGCGCTATTCGTTTCCTCAAAGCTAAGCAGTAGGTTGGCCTGCTGCATCCAGCGTGAAGAGCTTTTAGGGTATGCCAGTAAGGTTTCAAGCGCCCTGATCGATGTATCTTATTGCCAACGAATTGCAACAGGACACTTGCTTACATGAAATCAGCATGTAGAATTTGATGCAGTATTTGTTTATAAATTTTTCGAGAAAGCCAACATTGACTGGTGCAGGTTTGAATAATCATCGGGTGTGATTGGCCCAATAATTTTCGTGACAAATTGTTTCATTTATCAACACCATAAATCATCCAAGTCAAATGTCCTCATACAGTTTTACAAGAAATTGAGCACATGCACAATTTTAACGTGGTAAATCACAACTTGTTTTGCGCTAAAAGACCCCATTGCTTCTCTGTTTGGTATGGTGGCGAATCCAACTGATGGTCCACTTAAACTTGGAAAAGCACCACTTACAAGAAGTGCGACATTTTGTCGTTACAAGCAACACTAATGTGCAGTCCCTCGGAAAAATTGCCAAAAATTTGGGCCAAAGTTTGGCAACCGTTCAGTCAATTGTGAAAGGCTACCAATCCCATGAAACAACTGCAGCTCGGCCTCACTCTGGTTGGCCTCATAGTACCACAGACCGCGAGGACCGCATGATCGTCCGTTCGGCTCAACAAAATCGACGTTTAAGTGTTGACTCTTGATGTGCAATGATTCAAGTCTTTCACAAAAAGGACGTTTTGAACTGCACAAGACGCCGGCATATTCACGAAATAAGTCTTCGTGGGCGTGCGTCTCATTCCAAGCTATTCCTTTCAAACGGTACAACAAGCGGTTGGCGTACGCTGTGAAGTACAAAATCTTTCCCGTTGACGACTGGAGACGAGTTGTTTGGACTGACGAATGTCCACTTAACTTATCTACATCAATTGGGTGTGTGTGTTGCGTGGTGTCGACCTGGGGAAGAGATTTCCGTCGAGTGCCTTGTTCCTGCATTCAACAGTGGCCACCAAAGCATTATTGTGTGGGGGGCTATTGGTTAGAAAGGCACGGGTAAACTTGTGAAATTCGGTGGAGAGCAACTTGACACTTTGGAAGAGCATTTGGCCGAAAATTTTATCCGGTTGGACCTGCCCATTCACTTTGTCTAACAAGACTATGCGTCAATTCACACTACCTAGTAGATCGCCGCATGTTTCGACGAAATGCTTTGAACAAGATGGACAACTCCCCCTCAAAGTCCTGATCTGAACACAATCGAGCACGTGTGGGAGTATTTTATGCGTCGGAATTTTTCAAATTCTCCATCGTCGGTTGATGTATTCCGTGATTGTGTGCAGGGAATTTGGAACAATTTGCCGCCTTCTACGTGGCATGTCCAAGCGATTGAGCATGGACATTGCCAACTTGGGTGGCGCAACACAGTAGTAATCTTTGAATAATACAAACTGTATGGTCGATTTCTTGATATCGTACGAATACTTATGACTCAGGATATTCAGGGTGAAGAATTTCAAATCATCATATCTCCTACAAAATTGCACAAATGTGCTAAGGCTTTATCACAGCCCATTTCGAATGGCGGAACGGCAGGTTACGATTGTTCATTTCGAAAACGACCGGGTCAGTGAAAGGAAAAGTTCCCTCAAGTTCACAATCTGAACTACATGAAACCTTTCGTCCAGGACGCGTAAATTTGTGTAATTTCAGGCAAAAATTGTCTTAGAAGTCCAGTTCTTTACTTTTTCACCAAAGTGAACTTCTTTCTTGATGCTGTGCTTATCATCTGAAGAGCATCACAGTGGCCAACTTCATCGAGGAACCTATTGGCCATAATTCGATTATATCAATACAAAATAATCTCAAAGTTCGCATGTGGATAGTATTATCCATAGCACGCAAGAATCTATCATGAATTCTAAGTCGGTCGAATGCTTGATCGCAGATAAAGAACTGTAAAAGTAGTGTGGCGTGAATACATGCTCGACATATTTGTTGTTGTTGCTCCACTTCCCGGCACGCTACTGTCCATGCAACCCGTGTTCCTTGCAACCACTACGCCCATACAGGGAACGACGGAAAAATGTCCCCAGTGGTACTTCACCATATTTTCGCTATATTAATATTGTCGCACTATTCAACCTGCAAGTCGAGATTGTTGTATTTTTAGCCAATGGGCGACAAGTACTACTACGACCTAGTACATGACATCATGCATAATTTATCTTGGATATACTATCATATCAATGCATGAACCTGCTCACTTTACCCTCCTTGAAACAATATGTTGCAATAATAACTCAATAGTATGTATTATGTCATGCAAACCGTCCTACGTTGGAACATTCAATACTACAACAACATCACAAAAACTAAGAATTATAGCTCACGCCGTAGAGCTCCTGCTCGAAGCCCGTGTGATACAGTTTTCATTCCATGACGTGGATGTACGTTATACCGTATAGTCAATGTGCATTGCCTCGCATGTCCGTTGTGGTATCCTAATGGGTCTTACCTAACGCGAGGTCACAATAAACAGTTGTTCACTGACGTTCAA